ATTTTTTTTTTATTTTATTTTTATTTATTTTTGTTTGTTAAATTTTTTTAAAAATAAATTTTACTCTAAAAACATTGGGAATTTTTAGGTGGGGCCCCCCTTTTTACTTGCACCATGTGCGCAATCTTGGGACCCCCTGAACCCCTTTGGGACCGCGGGGCCCCCAAATGGCGGGGCCCTAGGCAAATCCCTATTTTGCTACATAATCCAGCCCTGGGTGTGGTGGGGCAATGATGCGGTTTGGTGGGGACAATGATGAGGTGTGGTGGGACAAGCGCGGGTGGGGACATGGCAGGTGTGGGGGGGCAATGTTGCGGTGTGGTGGGGAAAATGGCAGGTTTGGGGCCCACAATGATGCGGTGTGGTGGGAAATGATGCGGGTGTGGGGGGGCAATGATGCAGGTGTGGTGGCCCTCAATAAAGCTCAGTTTGTTCAATTAAAATGGAAAAAATAAAAAAGAAGAGTGTAAATAAAAACCCCGGTTGTTGTGACCTCTATAAAAAATGAAATGCAGTACAACAATAAATAACCAGGTTGTTGGACCTCTCTAAATAATAATTGCAGCTCACAACACATAAAAAACCCCAGGTTGTTGTGCCCTTCTAAAAATAATAGCAGTCAAAACCTAAATAACCCGGTTGTTGTGACCTCTCATAAAGAATAATATGCAGCTCACAACACATAAATAACCCAGGTTGTTGTGACCTCTCATAAAGAATAACATGCAGCTCACAACACATAAATAACCCAGGTTGTTGTGCCCTTTCCATAAAGAAAAACAGAGCTAAACAAAAAATTAAAACACAACTTATAAGTGAACAAAACAAAACAAAAGAGTGGGGATGAAAATGAACAAGAGGTGGATGAACAACTGAACAACAGTGTGTGATGAACAACTGAACAACAGTGTGTGATGAACAATTGAACAAGTGTGTTTAGCACCAACTGCTCCCAGAACTTCAAGTTATATAAGAAGTTTTGTGGTAAAGTGCTCCTGCTTATGAGACAAGTGTATTTTGGAAGAAAGTGCCAGCAAGAACACACATTAGTCAGAAAGAGATCCAGGATTCACGGCAGCAAAGGATCACTTCACCTGGCTCATTTGTTTTAATGCATCAGGTGATTTTAAGTGTAAGCCCATGGTTACTTACTGCTCTAAGACTCCTTGTGCTCTGAAAGTTGTATACAAAACACCTTACCAGTAATTTAGAGGTCAAACCAATCAGCATGGATGGCAAAGGAATCATTTACTGACTGGCTTAAGTATCACTTGATTCCTGAAGTCAAGTTTTACCTGCACAGCAAGAACCTTGTATTGAAGGATCTCTTCACTCTTAACCCTTTGACTGTCGCAACCCTCAATCCTGAGGTGTCTCCTGGTGTCGCAAAATTTCAAAAAAAAAATTATTTTTCTTTTGAAATGATAGAGAATCTTTTCCCGATTGTAATGACACCAAAAAAACGAAATTTGATGGAAAACTGACGGAATTATGCTCTCGTGAAGTTAGCGACCTTGGCGATTTCGCCCACTTTGAGCCCTATTTTCGGCTAATTCTATTGTTCCAGTCGACCAAACTCATAGCTATTTCTTTAGAATCCATTTTTTCTATCGACTGAGTACAAAAAACTGCCCATTTACCAATTTCAACTACCCAATAACGTGGTCAGAAATTTGTAATTTGGCCAATTTCACGAAAATTAAAAAGTATGACAATTTCAAAATAGGGTCCAGAATGAACAATGCAGACATTCTTGGCTCTAAAATAACATTTTCTTTGTTCATCAGTCACATCTCCAGGCACCTCTGATATTACTCTTGCTTTCTAATTTGAATTTTTATTCAAACAAAAAATAGAAGATTTACTGTTATGCAGACTACTGCAATATCGTAATGATTGTATAAATAATGTCAACCCATTCATGACTGCATATTAGAATGGCTACTTGGATATTTATTGGACAATGACATCATTTGTTTACTTTTGAACATCAGTAAAAATCACACATTTCCCCTACTTTGAGCTCCATTTCAAGGTTCTTTTTGTAGTAAAATCAATCAAAATCACTCTATTTCTATAATATATTTTCCATTCTATCAAATGAGACCAAGAAAACGAGAATACAACCATAAATACTATACGAAAATAGACCACAAAGTCGGCATTTTAATTAAAAAAATGGTCGGAGTTTTTTTTTCTCATTATGCACTGCGTGCTCCAGGATTTTTTTTATATGGTGCACACTGATCACACAGACCCATTCTCTCACATGTGGGCCTATCAGCTTTCTCCTGCTTGATTTGAAGCCGCTAGAATTTATGAGTACATGTATATATACGTCAAACACGGTACCTCGTAAGACGTATATATACGGCCAAAACAGTCAAAGGGTTAATAATTCCTGTACTTATCCAAAAGCTTTGCTGGATGTGACCCCACATGTAAAAGTTTTATTTTCACCTCCAAATACAACATATTTAATACAATCACTGGATTGTGGAGTTATTAAGTCATTCAAGTGTAACTACGCACGAAAAGTGATGAGAAAATGAGTTGCATCAATAGACTCTGACTCCAACCTGGCAGTACCAAACTTCTGGAATAAATTTAACATTGCAGATGCATCAGCTGTGTTAGAAGTGCATGGATGAAGTGCCACAATCAACATTAAATGCAGCTTGGGGAAAGTTATGCCCTAGTGTGGTGAATACTTTCACAGGTTTCCCTTCTCTTCAGTCAGGTGCAGGTAACAGTTCAGTTAGGAAGATGATGACCAGGTGATGACTGAAGTTATGCAGGAAGATGATGTGAATCATCTCTTACAAGTTGATGGTGAAGACACAAGTCCAGAGGAAATGTTGGCAGAGCTCAATGTACAGATACATGGGAGGCAGATAACAGAGCAAGAAGAACATAAGAAAAACAGTTAATATTACAATAGTTATGTGAGCAGTTCTATGTTGCTGCTAAACTAGCAGACTTTACCACTGAACATGACAGTGACACATCCAGAAGCACTGCTGTGAAACAGTGTCTGGAGGACACTGACATATCTAGAAGCACTGCTGTGAAACAGTATCTGGAGGACACTGACACATCTTGAAACACAGCTGTGAAACAGTGTCTGGAGGACACTGACACATCTTGAAACACAGCTGTGAAACAGTGTCTGGAGGACAGCTGACAATGCCTACTGTGAAACTGTATTAGAATGACCATTGCACAGAGTGAAACAGGTCTGAGACACACATTACAGAATCTCAGCTACATCTAGCACTGATAATGCCTACTGTAGTGCCAAAATTAACTGCATAGTAAAAAGATCAAACCCTCACACTACAAATCATCCACCCATACAATCATCCACTCAGGCAAACATCCAAACCATCCAACCTCATCAAACAATCCACAACCATCCACCTCAGCAAACAATCCACAACCATCCACCTCAGCCCATTAGGGCCACAGTATCCCTCATCCACATTCTCAACAATCCACTCACAAACACCACAACACCCCATTAAGGTAAGAAATATCTCATCTTTCACAAACATTTGTCAGCCATCAAACAATTTCAAGTAAATACATTAAATACTTACTTCTAAACAACCAACTACAATCACATTGTTGCTTTTATTTGTTTAAAATCTGGAGACCTAAAAGAAAAAAAGTTGTTTGCTATTTTTGCCATATGTTTATCAGTTTGTTTTTGATGATTTTTGTCTTAGAAGATATTTTTGTCTTAGAAGGTATTTTTGTCTCAGGTATTTTTGTCTTAGAAGGTATTTTGTCTCAGAAGATATTTTTGTCTCAGAAGGTATTTTTGTCTCAGAAGATATTTTTGTCTCAGAAGGTATTTTTGTCTTAGAAGATATTTTGTCTCAGAAGTATTTTGTCTCAGAAGGTATTTTTGTCTTAGAAGGTATTTTGTCTCAGAAGGTATTTTTGTCTTAGAAGATATTTTTGTCTTAGAAGATATTTTGTCTCAGAAGGTATTTTGTCTCAGACGGTATTTTGTCTCAGAAGGTATTTTGTCTCAGAAGGTATTTTGTCTTAGAAGGTATTTTGTCTTAGAAGGTATTTTGTCTCAGAAGGTATTTTGTCTCAGAAGGTATTTTGTCTCAGAAGGTATTTTGTCTCAGGTATTTATGTCTCAGAAGATATTTTCAAGGAAGTAACTACTGTCATAATTAAGAGTCAGCTGTATTTGAACCTGTATTGTTCATCCAAAATTAAACAGAATGCACTATAAGTACCACTCACTTGTTGTTCAATTTTGGCTGTAGTGTTTATATTGTCTTTATAAGCAACTTCACTATGCAGAGGAGCTTTGTAAGAGAGTTGACTGTATGTCAAGGAAATATATATGAGAGATGACTGTATACAGAGAATTATAGTAGAGTTTACTGTATGTAAAGGAGATTTATAAGAAAGCTGACTGTATATAAAGGAGATTTATAAGAAAACTGACTGTATATAAAGGAAATTTATAAGAAAGCTGACTGTAATCCACATAACTATGTCTATCAACAGGAGAATTATGTATAGGAGAATAAAGAACATCAGAGAAACTGCACAACCATGCAGAGATAGACAGCAAACCTGGGATTATTGGACCAATAGGAGGAAAGGGCAGTATATTACTGATAATTATCCATAGATTCCAAATTATGGCATTTATTTTTCACAATGGTAATATAAACAGACAGAGTTGAGAGACAGCGAAGTTCATCCATCAACTCTCAACCAGACGCTGAGAATACAGCTGTTGTAACTTGTACTATAGTACAGTACCGAACTCTAAATGTTAAGAATACAAAATATTAAGTAAGAATGATTCACAAAGATACAAAATATTCAGTTAAAATGACTCATGGAATCCTAACAACACAAAAGCAAACAAATCAGGGCATGGATGGGTTAAGACACTGGCCTGTGTCTTAGGACTGACCTAACATAGCCTCAATTTCCAACCATTCTGATTCCATAAGAATATTTACCTTGTGTTTTCCTGGCCAGTTCCTGACTGTGCAAGATGTTAGCCAGTTTAGAGTCACAGTAGAGTGGGTTGTGTCGTGCCGTTGAGGTGCTGTCGTCAGTGGCAGCAGTGTTGTCATCAGCTGCATTGTCTAGGACATCATAGTCGAGACGGCCATGCACGTACAATGATGACGACACTGTCACTATCCTGTGGTGGAAAGTAATGATATGATCAGTGGAGTGGCAATGCTAAGGCAGTACAAGTAGTAGTAGCAGATAATACCATACCTGGTCAGTAAGTTTTAAGTACTTCCCTCCTACAAGGCAAGTACTGACCAAGAACTGGGAGTACTTTAATGCTGGTAAGTATGAGTACAGGCAGGCTTCGCTTTACAGTGTTTCACTAATGCAGCAGTTTTCAATTACAGTGGACCCTCCATTTTTGTCAATCTCCGTTATTGCCAATTTCGGTTTTGGCTGACTTTTCTCATTGAATTATTTGTTCCGTTTTCACTGATTACCTCTGTTTTCGTCAACTGTACAGAACCTGTCCAGTGCCCAGTGCGCAGACAAAGCCGCCTCTCACATGCATTCTCAGCCAGTGTAGCGTCGTTTCTCGGTGAGTGAACATATTCTGCCAGGTCATACAAAACATTTTGTAATAATCCATTGTTTTTGCCACTTGTTTATTGTGTGTGACTGCTAAATAAGTGACCATGGCCCCGAAGAAAGCTCCTAGTGCCAGTGCTTTGGTAAAGAAAGTGAAGAGCACCATAGAACTGAAAAAAGAAATCCTAAGAAAATATGGTAGTGGTATACACATTGCTGAACTCAGCAGGATGTACAGGAATTCACCATCAACAATCAGCTCCATTGGGGCAAAGAGAAAAGAAATCATGGAAGCTGATGTTACGAAAGGGGTGAATGCGATAACCAAACAGAGATCCCAAACAATTGTAGGTGTGGATCAGAGAGAAAGAGTAGGAGGAGACAGTGTTGTGCAGTCTATAATTTGTGAAAAGGCAAGGCAGTTGCATGATGATCTCATAAAGAAACTGCCTGAAACAAGTGCTGATGTAGGCAAATTTAAGGTCAGCAAAGGCTGGTTCAAAAAATTCAAGAAGCGAAGTGGCATACACAGTGTTGTAAGGTATGGTGAGGGTGCCAGTTCAGATAAACAAACAGCTGAAAAATTTGTGCAGGAATTCAAATGTTATATAGACGCTGAAAAATTCCAACCCTAACAAGTGTTCAGTTGTGACAAAACAGGCCTGTTTTGGAAGAAAATGCCAAAGAGGACCTACATTACGCAGGAGGAAAAGGCACTCCCAGGACACAAACCTATGAAAGACATGCTAACTCTCTTGTTCTGTGGTAATGCTAGTGGGGATTTCACAGTGAAGCCTTTCCTGGTGTATCACTCTGAAAATCTCAGAGTGTTCAAGAAAAAGTGTTGTCAAGAGTAAATTCTGTGTGATGTGGAAGGCTAACAGTAAGGCACGGATCACTAGGGAAATTTTCCTGGAATGGTTCAATGAAGTGTTTGGCCCGGGTGTGAAGAAATACCTCCTGGATAATAAATTGCCACTGCAGTGCCTCCTGTTAATGGACAATGCTCCTGCTCATCCTCCAGACTTGGAAGACCAATTGTCTATGGAATTCAGTTTTGTAACAGTGAAGTTCTTGCCTCTTAACACCACTCTCCTCATCTAGCCCATGGACCAGCAGATCATTGCAAACTTCAAAAAACTGTACACCAAAGCAATGCTTCAAAGGTGCTTTGACATAACCTTGGACTCTGAATTGACCCTAAGAGAGTTCTGGAAGAATCACTTCAATATCTTCCACTGCACAGGCCTTATAGATAAGGCTTGGCAGGGAGTGACTTCCAGGACTTTGAACGCTGCTTGGGGAAAACTGTGGCCAGATTGTGTCCAAAAGAAGGATTTTGAAGGGTTTGAGGCTAGCCCTGTCGACCCTATACCTGTTGTGCAATCAATTGTGGCATTGGGGAATTCCATGGGGTTGGATGTGAGTGGCGACGATGTGGAAGAGTTGGTGGAGGACCACAATGAAGAGCTAACTACTGATGAGCTGCAAAAGGTTCATCTGCAACAGCAACAGACCACAGGTGAGGAACTTGCTTCAGAGGAGGAGGAAGAGAGATGGAAGAAGGCGCCTTCTTCAAAGATTAAGGAGATTTGTGCAATGTGGACTAAAGTAGATTCATTTGTGGAAGAACATCACCCTGAGAAAGTTGTTGCAATCTGTGCTGGTGACTTTTACAATGACAATGTCATGTCCCATTTTAGGCAAATCTTAAAGAGACACCAGAAACAGACCTGTCTGGACAGATATTCTGTGCGACAGGGGTCCAGTGACTCTCAAGCTGGTCCTAGTGACAGTAAAAAACAAAGGAGGGAAGTGACCCCGGATAAGGGCTTGGTACCTAGTCCTTATGGAGGGGGATTCTCCTTCTAAACACTAACCTCTCTTCTCTCTCCCCTCCTCCCTGCCTTACTTCCAGCAACAACAGCCTTCAATAAAGGTAAGTGTAATGTTCATTCTTTTGTGCATGTAAATCTATCTTTAAGGTAAAAAAAATTTCTTGGGTTGATACTTCTGGGTGTCTGGAACGGATTAATTCCATTTACATTATTTCTTAAGGGGAAAATGGTTTCGGTTTTGGCCAATTTCAGTTTTGGCCGATGACTGTAACAGATTAACCCTTTCAGGGTCCAAGGCCCAAATCTGGAGTCACGCACCAGTGTCCAAGAATTTTCAAAAAAAAATTTTTTTATTTTTTCTTATGAAATCGTAGAGAATCTTTTTGTGAAGGTAATAAAACAAAAAGTACGAAATTTGGTGGAAAATTGACGAAATTATGCTCTCGCGAATTTTGATGTGTCAGCGATATTTACAAATCGGCGATTTTGCCGACTTTGACTCCCATTTTAGGCCAATTACATTATTCCAATCAACCAAATTCTTAGCTATTTCAATAGTATTACTTCTATTCTATTGATTGAGCACAAGAAATCGCCAAGTCAACTGTTTCAACTACAAAATAAAGTGATCGGAAATTGTTAATTTGGCCAATTTAACACAAAGTTCAAAATATTCCAATTTCAAAATAGAGTCCAGAATGAACAATGTAGGCATTCCTGGCACTAAACTAACATTTCCTATGTTCATTAGTTATGTTTTGAGGCTTTACAAATAAATTCCATTTTGATTTTTTTATTCACATAATGAATTTTTATTCACACCAAAAAATAGAAGATTTACTGTTATGCAATACTGTAATAATTGTATAATATCATCACCATATTTGTGAATGTATATGAGACCCACCAGCTGACGTGTATTAGACGTGTGAGGTCGTTTGTTTACTCTTGAATATCGGCAAAAATTTAACATTTCCGCTACTTTGAGCTCAGTTTCAAGCCATTTCCAATGCTAAAACCAATCAAAATCATCTCTATTTCTGTAATATGTCTTCCATTCTATCAAATGAGACCAAGAAATCGCAAATACAATTATAAAAAACATACGAAAAAACACTGCAAAGTTGCTGTTTTAATTGAAAAATCATGATTTCATTTTTTTCTCTCATTATACACAGTGTGCTGCAGGATCTGTTTTATGTGGTGCACACATACCACATAGATGTATTCTCTCATATCTAGGCCCAAATGTACCACTCACAGTTTATCAGAGTGAGCTGAGCTCATGGCGTAGATCTACGGTTTGGACCCTGAACGTAAAGCCGTAGATCTACGGGACGGACCCTGAAAGGGTTAAATGCGAAAACCGAGGATCCACTGTATACCCATTCTTCATTAATTTTGACTTCCTACAACAACCACTTACTATAAGCTAAGGACAAAAATATTTTAAGGTAAGTAATATGTGTACTGTATATGCACTTTTCAGACCTAGTTCTATTATTCACTTAACCCTTTGACTGTCGCAACCCCCAATCCTTAGGTGTCTCCTGGTGTCGCAAAATTTAAAAAAAAAAAAAAAAAAAAAAAATTTCTTATGAAATGATAGAGAATCTTTTCCCGATTGTAATGACACCAAAAAAACGAAATTTGATGGAAAATTGACGGAATTATGCTCTCGCAAAGTTAGCGACCTCAGCGCTGTTTACAAATCCGCGATTTTGCCCACTTTTAGCCCTATTTTCGGCTAATTCCATTGTTCCAGTCGCCCAAACTCATAGCTATTTCTTTAGAATTCCATTTTTTCTATCGATTGAGTACAAGAAACTGCCCATTTACCGATTTCAACTACCTAATAATGTGGTCAGAAATTTGCAATTTGGCCAATTTCACGAAAACTAAAAAATGTGACAATTTCAAAATAAGGTCCAGAATGAACAATGCAGACATTCCTGGCTCTAAAATGACATTTTCTTTGCTCATCAGTCATGTTTCCAGGCCCCTCTGATATTACTCTTGCTTTCTATTTTGAATTTTTATTCAAACAAAAAATAGAAGACTTACTATTATGCAGACTACTGCAATACTGTAATAATTGTATAAATAACATCAACCCATTCATGACTGCATATTAGAATGGCTAGTTGAACATTTATTGGACAATGGCATCATTTGTTTACTTTTGAACATTGGCAAAAATCAAACATTTCCCCTACTTTGAGCTCCATTTCTAGGTTCTTTTTATAGTAAAATCAATCAAAATCACGTCTATTTCTATAATATGTTTTCCATTCTATCAAATGAGACCAAGAAAACGAGAATACAACCATAAATACTATACGAAAATAGACCACAAAGTCGGCATTTTAATTAAAAAAAAACGGTCGGAGTTTTTTTTTTTCCTCATTATGCACTGCGTGCTCCAGGATTTTTTTTATATGGTGCACACTGACCACACAGACCCATTCTCTCACGTGGGCCTACCAGCTTTCTCCTGCTTGATTTGAAGCCGCTAGAATTTATGAGTATATATACGTCAAACACGGTACCTCGTAAGACGTATATATACGGCCGCGACAGTCAAAGGGTTAATCCTTTCATGGTCGGCAGACCCTCTCCTAAACTTGTTCTCCGGGTTGGAAATTTCTCGAAAAAAATAAATTATTTTTCTTATGAAATGACAGAGAATCTTTTCCCGATCATAATGACACCAAAAGAATGAAATTTGATGGAAAATTTATGGAATTATGCTCTCGCGAAG